ATCCCAACATTAACCCCAACTGTATCCCCTTGTTGTCCATCACCGCTAAACCATGGCGTCATTTTTTGGGCATAGTCCACCGAGCACCATCTTTTGCGTACCCAGAATCCACGTCTACATTAACTGTTTCACTGATATCCTTCCCAGAAGTCGATCCAACCTCCAACCCAAGACCTACTTTTAGTGGATCCCAATCTTTTGGATATTTTCTCTCAATAAGGTCACCCATCAAGTCAAAGTCGTAGTCCTCCGACTCCATTTCTGCAGAATCCATGTTATTTCCAGCCCCATTCCCCTCACCTACTTTCTCATCCATAGTCTTTTCTATGGCTATAACTTCGTCCCAAAAGCTCTCGCCAGCCCATGACAAAGGGACATTTGTCATGTTATCTTCGTCCTCCACAAGAGTGCTGCCATTTCTGTCCTTCCCAATACACTTCTCCCCGGCGATCAACGGAATTCCTCCTCCGTCTTCAACAAACACCTGTTGTGAATCACCAATACCCAGGCTAAAACCTATTGGAGAAAGATTAACCAATACCTGATCTTCATGAGGGACAACAATCTTTTCATTTTCAGAGCAACCCACATTTTTGTCCTCTAATACACGTTTTGTCCTTTTTTCTCCACCATCTGCTGACAATCTTAACCTCTGTACCACCATGCTGTTAACCGGATGGACCTCTCCTTCCCATTCACATCTTCTCCTTCCTTTACCTATCCTTGTCTGTTTAGCTTTTACCGCGTCATCCTCAACTATTCTGTCACCGCCATCACTCAGGTCGCCATTATTCTCTAAAGATGGATAGTTGAAACAATCTTTCTCAATACGTTCGATTTCTTCGATGAAAGACGGATTTACGTACGTCATAGCCACATTAAATAAGTCGTCTGGAGGGTCACATATATTTTCTGCCTACGCAATCGTTCCATCTTTTACTGTCGTGTGACAAACCAACGCATCCTCTACTGCCCTAATCACCGTCTTGTCATCAAGTTCCTGTGGACAAACACTATTCCTATCTTCCTTATTATTCTGAATTCCCTTCAATGGTACATCCATCTCCTCGTCCTCCACATTACTCAAAGACATGTACAGGTTTATTCCAGGTTTCTCCTTCTTCAAATACTTAAATTTCTGTAAAGCGCTTTCCGAATCTATAGTCACAGGAGGCATTCGCATTTGCGACAACACCGTCTCTTCTGACTCGTGCCAGAAACTTAAACTTGGTTTCTGTCTCTTCGGACACAAACAAAACAACTTCGCCACCTTCATGTTTATCTCCTTTAAACTTTGCTTCTCATGGACGTCCATACATTTGCAGAAAATGTCCTTCTTTATACAAAAATGCCACTGTCCCTGCTCCAAACATTCCCAGTCACCTACGATTACGAAGACAGAGGATTCTATTGTATAAATGCTTTCGAAGAATCAGTGAACGGCCATTAACTCTGACAGATTCTGTCCATCAAACACCTGCATTTATTCCAGGAAATACATTCAATTTCACATTAACTACAAGTAAACAATTTAACAAACTTTTAAAAATTGGAACACTTACAGAATTTTTTTATGCCCAGATTATTCCCAACCTCCAACAAAATCTTTCACCTCAACAACTTCATCCCATTACCTCGGTACCGTCACAGATAAAAATTATTTTAATCAATTAATAATGGCTTGTACTTTGCAGTTAATGCTCCAAACTTTTTCAAATGTCCCGCTCATGTTCCCAAACACTCAAAGCGAAGGTTACACATCAGCAAGGGCAAATTCGTCACTCTATCTCCCTCGAACAGTAACTTGTGGCATTTCCTGCAACCCATCTAATTTATGGCATTTTCCGTAAGATTTTCGCCAATAATGGCATTTTTCGTAAAATTCCCATTACTAAATTAGTTGTTGAATAAGTACCCTAATATAATAATCGCCCCACACCTTTGTTTGTTTGTTTTTTTTGTCAAATTAAATGTTCCGGTCCTTGCTATATGTAAATGTGATTTTTCTAGTTTTAAACAAAAATGCAATT